CCAAAAAAAGACATTCTCTTATATGGTTAACCACAAAACCATTACCACATCTAAGAAAATCAACAAAATAACACCATCCAATGTACCCAAAGTTCCTCAGTAGTCCCTACAATGCTCTTCATATAAACTTTTTACAAAACCCAGATCTAATCACATATTTGGATGCTATATCTCTTTAGTCTCCCCAAGTCTCTGTACTTCACAACATTGAATTCTTTGAAGAGTGTGGACTTCTGGATATATATGGAACATTTCCTCATGATTAGAATGTGCATTTTCAGCAAGAACATCACAGGACCACAGAGGTCAAGTTGTGTAACCCCTTCCTTTCCCCCTATAACATTACATTAAGAAACATATAATTATTTAACTATGGCAATGGCAAAACTGATGACTTGATTAAGATGGTGACTATCAAATCATCTTACCTAATAATAGACAAACATGTAAATTGACCATACCTTCGCTACACTAACAACAAAGATGGCGATTAATTTGCATACGTAGGCGAGAGCGGCCTGGGTCCCGGGAACATCCTTGGGACCCAGGCCGCTCCTAGCCTGTAGGCCCGCGCATAGGCCCTGAGCAGTTGGGGTCCCAGAACGCCCCCGGCCACTCCGGGCCTATGGGCACAGGTGCCAAGCGAATGTTCCCGCCTTGTGGCCGCTTGCGCATGTGCAGGCGCCAAGCAGCAGCCTGGATCCACGCCCCCCAGCCCAGCACCCATCACGGGGGCAAACAGGCCAGGCCAGGCCTCCCCACATCCATCGTGTACCGAACAGAACAGGCCTCCCCGAGATCGGTCATGGGGCGAACAGAACAGGCCTCCCTGCAATCACTGGTGGGGTGAACAGGCCAGGCCTCCCCCAATCACTCTTGGGGCGAACAGGCCAGGCCTCCCGCAGGTTGAACAGAACAGGCCTCCTGTGAGGCGAACAGAACAGGCCACGCCTCCCTGCGATCCCAGGCAAAGAAGCTGTTCTGCTGACCAGCCTGTGCTATGGACCTGTTCGGGTGGGTGGCGCAGAGTCCGGGGCCTCTAGCCTGCAGCCACGGGAAGTATCCCTTTCCAGAGTTAGCAGTACCAGCCCAGGTCCACCCAGCACCGGGTCCTGACTGCCGGGGTGAGTTCCTGCAGGTTGGGGTTTGATTTCTAGGCATTAGCAGTAGGAGACCAGTGCCTTTGTTATTGCTGTGTGTCCAGGTTTTAATTGAACAAATGCCCAGTGGTCCTGGGCGCCAGCTTAGCAAAATCTTTTAGGAGAATTCTGTCTGGGTTTCCTCAAATTCCCTCAGCTACTACTCACCCCTCTGTAAAGGCGCAGAACAAGTGAGGCCCCTTAAATAAAAATCAGAGGTCTCCAGCAACGGTGGGCCTCTCTCATCACAGTCATTTGGACTGGATTGCATTTGAGTATTTATCTAGGCACCATGACAGGGAACACACAAGCTCAAGTCACGATCTCTGCCCTTAAATAATTCACAATCTTATTAGAGCGAGTGGCTGATAAAAGCGCAGTAATGACATCAGAATGTAAGGCAACAATACAGAGAGGAACAGAGGCAATTGCTAGGATGATTTTCCAACAATTAGTACAAAGAGTATGTGCTGTGAATTAAATAAAAAAAATATGTGTGGAAGTAGCTGCTTCATGAGTATGGGATCCCTTCCTATTTTAAAGGAAACTGAGTTCCATGTGAACTGTGTAATATGCTATGATATCTGAGGCACAGGACAAGGGAGGCCCTAAGGGTACTATGCTTTGATATTTGAGTCATTCTTTATTGTTCGATGTGATTTATTTCTGCACGCTTCAGTTTTGTAATAGTTAAATTACTAGAATAATACATCTTGCTATAAAATATTACTAGAAGAGCAAATGATCAGGTGACATTTATTGTTATTTTCTATAAATGAACACAATCTCTGGTATGCTAAAGTGACAGGTATTATAGAAATATTCAGATAGGGAGACCTACAGGCTTGATTACAAGTTAGGCTATCACAACCCAAATTTATTGCTTAAAAGCAGGGAGCCAACTAGAAACAGAACCAAATATAAGCCCTTGAAGGGTAAATGTAAATTGGATAAGCTTTGCTATTACAAGAGCAAGAAGAAAAAAATTCAGATGCAAGAATGAGAAGCACACTGCATCCACTCTAAGTTGCTGTTAAAGAAAAAGAATGATATATTATGAAAATACTTAATACAGATTGTAAAGAGATTTGTTCAAAGAGGATTTCCTAGAGGAGGTGGTATTTTAGTTAATTTTTTTAAATGTGAAGAGGTTAGCTAGATAAGAAAAAGGTGTAGGGGTCCCAAATTGCAGAGGGTGCAGGCGGGGCTGAGGGACCCCCCCCCAACCCCTGTGCACGAATTTCGTGCACCAGGCCTCTAGTCCTATATAATATCCTATATAATAAAAGCCCAGCGACCAAACGGCTAAACGACCAGACCAACCGGTTGACCAGTCACTATGACACACACTGACCACCAGGGGACAGATGCTCAACGCAGGAGCTTTCTCCTGGTGGTCAGTGCGCTACCACAGTGGGAGTGCCGCTCGGCTGACCGAAATGAGTGGCTGCTCCCGCCGTGAACCCTGGGCAGCCAATCCATTGTTGCCTCCTTGCCCCAGGCTCCTCCTTCTTGCTCCCTGCCCCCTCCTCTGGATGCCTGCAGGCTGCTGCTGGGCTTGTAGAACTGACCCTGGAGGCTGGGAGGCGGGTTCATGGCTGCTGCAGGACTGAGGCCTACTCTACTGCCTCTTAGTGCTATTGTCCAGGTCCCTTGGAGAGGCGAGTGCTCCGGCTCCATGGAAGATGCCAGACCAGGGAGCAGCCACTCGGCTGCAGCCACTCGGCTGACCGAAATGAGCAGCACTACGACAGCAGGCCAATCCCTGAATGTCACGCCCCCCACCAGTGCAAGAATCCCATGCACCGGGCCTCTAGTTCCATTATAAAGGCACAACACTCACCCTTTTTGTAATTAGTAAGTAAACTGTGGGATGAATACCTTAAGGACATTTTAATATCCTCTTTCAACACCATTTACTCAATGATTTTAGCTGATAATAGTGCTGCTAATTCTTACACCAGAGATTATTTTTTTAAAATATATATTTTATTTATTTTTTTACAGAGAGGAATATAGAGCCAGAAACATCAATCAGCTGCTTCCTGCACACCACCTACTGGAGATGTGCCCGCAACCAAGGTCCATGTCCTTGACTGGAATCGAACCTGGGACCTTTCAGTCTGCAGACTGACGCTCTATCCACTGAGCAAAACCAGCCAGGGCGAGATTATTAAATGATGATTTTCTATTATCTGCCATTCCTTCCTTTTATTAGCTGGTATTTTTCTGTTAAAAAAGAGCATTGTTTCCCCTTCTTTTAGTGGGGAATGGTATTTAGAAACCAAGAACAGAGTCTACACATGTTCTTTGCTACTGGATATCACTGCTTCTAGGCCTGTCAGTCAGGAAATAAGCAGTTTTTTAAAAAAATGAGTTCATTCTCATACCTCCAATTCACCTTCAACATCACAGGGTTCTTCGGTACCTTCCCCATTCCATATTTTTATATCCCTACTCCACACCACTTCCCAACATTAATATACTCCTAATTTGTCCTACCCCATTATACATACAAAATAGTTTCAAAACTGCCTGGCCAGTGTTGCTCAGTGGTTGAGCACAGACTTATGAAACAGGAAGTCACAGTTTGATTCCCGATTCCTAGTCAGAGCACATGCCTGGGTTGCAGGCTCAATCCCCAGTGGGGGATGTGGAGGAGGCAGCCAATCATGATTCTCTCTCATCATTGATGTTTCTGTCTCTCTCTCCCTTCTTCTCTGAAATCAATAAAAATATATTTTAAAAAATAGTTTCAAAATTAACACCAATGCCACTACCAATTACAAACCCCAAGTCAAAATTTTTTAATAGTTCTATTTACTACCTACTAAGAGTGTAAAAGTTACTTGAATTAAGTACTTTTTTCCTGTGTGGCTATGTTATTGATTTGATATATATTTATTACCAGTTGTTTCAGCTTATATTCATTCAATTTTGGGATTCACCCTATCCTTTTTTATTTTGTGAGTAAGTCAAACGTTTACATACTTGAAAAGTTACAACTATATAAAAAAGAAATTAATTTTAACAAAACTCATTAGCATGCTAAGACATAAAAACAAAACTTAACACCGAGTTGATCTGATTACACCTAGCTTTTGCACACAATGAATGGCCTTTGTCCTTGTAAGTAGGACTGTTTGTTATTAGCCCAGCCCTCCTACACATTCTCCTTATAGTGTCATATTTCTAAAACATTGTTACTATAAACAAAGCACCAACCCTCCAAATATGCTCTATGTGAACATCTTTCATAGGTGATGAGATAATCACCCACATTCAACATAAATACTTCTTAATGGCATTAATATTCCCTCATCACAATGGCATTATTGCCAATCCCTTTTTGAAAATCTATCCTATTGAAAAAATACTTATTTTAAATGTATATACCTTATGTAAATTTAAAATAACATTCAATGAAATCTGATCACTGGATATATCCAAATTTTTTGTGTTGTTTTTTTAAAGTGACTCTTTTGAGAGATGACCATTTTATTTCTTGATTTTAAAGAGGGAAGAAAGGAGGAAGGGAGAGAACGTGGGAGAGGGAATGGGAGAAGTGGAGGAGAGAGGGAAAGAGAAAGAGAAAGATCGATTTTGTTGTTACACTTATTTTTTCATTCACTGGTTGATTCTTGTATGTGCCCTGACCAGACCCACAACCTTGGCAGATTGAGATGACACTCTAACTAACTGAGCTACCTGGCCAGGGCCAAGAGAGACCATTTTAGAACCACTGGTCAATGAGGACATTAAATAAAGCCTGTAAAATATAGTAATAGGCTACAAAAGGAATACCAAACAAGATGTCTAAAAACATGTGGTTATAAAAAAAAAGAAAAACGAAAAACGTACCAACACCAACAGCACCAAATTGCTGCCCGACTAATGAACTTGGACTGAACTGACTGTACGTCGACATCCTGCCAAAAGGTCCATAGGAACCCACTGACTGGAATGAAGAAGTAGATGAGCCTAGTGAAGACTGAAGAAAAACCATGGGTTATTTTTTTCAGGCTCTAAACAACATGCATATAAGGGAAAGAAATTTGAATATTTACACTTTTAAAGAAAACGATTAAATTATAACTACTAGACACAAAAGCAATTATAATCTTACAACATGTATTTAACATTAGAACAGCTGAATAACCTTCTGATTTCACTATTTGTATATCTAGCTGACCCTTGAACAACACGGGTTTGAACTGTGAAGGTCCACTTATATGTGAATTTTTTTCAATATAGTCAGCCCTCAACAAATGGAGAGGGTCCATTGTATGTTTTGTTCTACACCATTGTATACACTGAGTGGCCAGATTATTATGACCACCTGACATTTGTAGGCAAATTAGCTATAATTTCACGCTGAAGTTGCTAGAGGGCCAGACCATTATAAATAGGGAAGCAGGTTGTTTACCCTGACAGTGAAGTGATTTTTTTCTGAAGATATGGGTAAACAATGCGATTTAACAGCCTTTGAACGTGGGATACACACACACACACACACACACACACACACCTGAGTGGCCAGATTATTATGACCACCCCATCAGTACTTCGTTGGGCCACCTTTTGCCTTCAATACTGCGGCGATTCTCCTTGGCATTGATTCCACGAGATGTTGAAAGGTGATGTGAGGAATCTGACACCATGCCTGATGAATAGCACTGTCCAGTTTTGTGAGATTTGATGGTTGTGGAACCAGCTGCCTGATGGCTCTTTTAACTTCATCCCACAAATGCTCCATTGGATTGAGATCTGGTGATTGTGGGTACCACCTAAGCAAGGTAAAGTCTCCCTCATGTTCTTGAAATCACTCCTGCACAATACGAGCACCGTGGCATGGCGCATTGTCTTGTTGGAAGAAGCCATCTCCATTGGGATACGCCATCAACAAGATAGGATGAACCTGATCAGCAACGATACTTAGGTATGTTGTGCTATTCAGACGTTGTTCCACATGAATTAAAGGGCCCAAATCATGCCAGGAAAACATGCCCCAAACCACAACACTGCCCCCACCAGCTTGTAGGGTTGTACTCATGCATGTGGGGTGCATGCTTTCATGCTGTTTCCGCCAAATTCTCACTCTGCCATCTGCATGATGCAACTGGAAATGTGATTCATCGGATCACATGACTTTTTTCCAATGCTCGGCTGTCCAATCCTTGTGTTCCTGTGCGACTTGGAGACGTTTTATCTTGGTAACTGCAGACAGCAAAGGTGCTGGAACAGGCCTTCCGCTTCCATATCCCATACGATGCAGTGTACGGCTAATTTGCCTACAAATGTCAGGTGGTCATAATAATCTGGCCACTCAGTGTAATATATATCTCACGTTCAAAGGCTGTTAAATCACATTGTTTACCCACATCTTCAGAAAAAAAATCACTTCTACTGTCAGGGTAAACAACCTGCTTCCCTATTTGTAACGGTCTGGCCCTCTAGCAACTTTAGCGCGAAATTATAGCTAATTTGTCTGCAAATGTCAGGTGGTCATAATAATCTGGCCACTCAGTGTATAAAGGACTTGAGTATCCACGGATTTTGGTATCTATAAAAGGTCCTGAAATCAATACCCCGCACAATCCGAGAAACAACTATAGCTAAGTTTTGGGGAGTTGGAAGTTACATGTGGTCCTGGTTGGGTGGCTCAGTTGGCTGGAATGTCGTACTGTACACCAAGCATGTCAAACTCAAAGGCTAACACGGGCCAATTAAACGAGGCATATGGCCCGTGGGCCGCAAGTTTGACATCCCTGATGTACACCAAAAGGTTACAGGTTCGATTCCCCGTCAGAGGATGTATGGGAGGGAACTGATTGATGTTTCTCTCTCTCCCGCTTCCTCTCTCTAAAGTCAATGTAAAAAGAAAACAATATATCCTCAGGTGACGATTGAAAAAAAAAAGAAAAAAAAGAAAGTATCTTTCATAGAGAAGTTAAAAATAAAAATACATGTAGATGTTTTATTGTGTGAGGGTTGGCACCCCCAAATTCTGCATTGTTCAAAGGGTCAACTATAAGTGCTATTTTATAGTCATTGATATATACACTTTTTTTCTACAATAAACTCCTCTTTTGAGTAAAGAGTTTTATAGCAGATTTAGGAAAGAACTGAAGAAAAGTTACTTGACTATCAAGTAAAATAACTTTGCTTAAAGGGAAAAAAACATGAAAAAACATACTTGATTATATTGAGTTTTAAATCTGTGCTGACAAATAAGACATTTCACTTTTGATTTTATTTTTGATCATGTGAGGTGCACTATTAAATTTACAGGAAAGAGATGGAAAAACAAACTATTCCACACAAAAATTTACATTTTTAAATATAGTTACCATTAAGTTAAAGAAAAAATTAAAAAAAACATTAAGTTACTAAACCCAAAATATAATTTAATATGTATATACACAAACTTTTATAATATTAATTTATCTTAATATAAAATATTTCATAATATAAATATGAAGTGTAATAACAACTACTGGCATATAAGCTCACTGATGGTAGGACTTTGTCTGTGTATTCACTGCTGGTACCAGGCAAATGGCAGGTGCTCAATAAATCCTACTGAAAGAATGAATTAAAAGTTCAAAAGTTGCCCAACCAGTGTTGCTCAGTGGTGGAGCATCAACCTCTGAACTGGGAGGTCATGGTTCTATTTCTGGACGGGGCATATGCCTGGGTTGCAGGCTCGATCCCCAGTAGGGTGCATGCAGGAGGCAGCCAATGGATGATTCTCTCTCATTATTGATGTTTCTATCTCTCTTTTCCTTCCTCTCTCTGAAAATAAATAAATAAATAAATAAATAATCCAAAGTCAAAATTTAAGGTGGTTAGAGGTTATTCAATACCATTTTGATTTGCATTTTCTTTGATTTTCCTCATTCCATAAAGCTGATTACTTAAATAACTGGTTCCCTGGAGAATTACCAAAAGTTATCTAAATATATAAAAGCCTAATATGCAAATTGTCCCCACAGGAGTTCAACTGGGAGACTGATTACTCGCTATGACGTGCGCTGACCACCAGGGGGTGGTGTAAACTAAGGGAGGCCCTGGCTGGCAGCCGGAAGGCCCCGATTGACCCTGATTGCCGGCCAGGCCTGGGGACCCTACCCATGCACAAATTTCATACCACCAGGCTTCTAGTCCTATATAATAAAGAGGTAATATGCAAATTGAGCATCACACCCTCACACAAGATGGCTGCCCCCATGTGGTCACGAGATGGCTGGCAGGGAAGGGCAGTTGTGGGCAACCAGGCTGGCAGGGGAGGGCAGTTAGGGGCGACTGGGCTGGCAGAGGAGGGCAGCTGGGGGCGACCAGGCCGGCAGGGGAGCAGTTAGGTGTCAATCAGGCTGGCAGGGGAGTGGTTAGGGGGTGATCAGGCTGGCAGGCAGAAGCAGTTAGGGGCAATCAGACAGGTGAGCGGTTGGGAGCCAGCAGTCCTGGATTGTGAGAGATGTCCGACTGCCGGACATCCCCCCAAGGGGTCCCACATGGGAGAGAGTGCAGGCTGGGCTGTGGGACACTCCCCCCAGTGCAGGAATTTCATGCACCGGGCCTCTAGTATATCTATCTATCTATATATATAAAAGCTTAATATGCTAAGTGTCCGACTGAGCGTTGACTGACTGGTCACTATGATGTGCACTGACCACCAGGGAGCAGATGTTCCAACCAATAGGTTAGCTTGCTGCTGGGGTCTGGCCAATCGGGACTGGGCAAGATGCGGCTGGACACGCCCTGGAGCCCTCCAGTGATCCCTCCCGCAGTCCCTCCCCGGTCACCGGCCACTGGCCCCGACTGGGACTGGGCGAGATGGCCCTGATTGACCCCCGACTGCCGCCAGGCGGAGGGACCCCACCCGTGCATGAATTTCGTGCACCAGGCCTCTAGTATATATATAAAATAGATACCACCACTATTTGGTGTAGGCCAGTGATTTTCAACCTTTTTCATCTCGTGGCACACATAAACTAATTGCTAAAATTTGGTGCAGCACACCAAAAAGTACATTATATTCTTTGCCTAACTGACAAAAAATAAATAGGTATAATTATCATTCATTCACACCAAACGGCTATAGCTGTGTTGGCTGTTGTCATTCTTTTATTTGACAATCTAAGGGAAAAGAGGTCAGTGCCCCTGACTAAATAGTCAGGTATTTCAAGTTTTAATAATTCTTGTGGCATACCAATTGAAAATTACTGGTGTAGGCAGCTACTTCTATTAGAATGTGTTTCTTCTCCCTCCACTTAAGAAGTCAGATTTTCTCAGGATTCCTTCAGACTTACTTTCCCAAAATTAAGACATAAAAAGGAGAGGATAATCAACAATTGAATCTAAAAATCAAAAGAAACATCAAAAAATCTAATGAACAAAATAAACTGATAAATAAAATAGAATCAAGAAGCATGGAAACACGAAATACCGGTCTGAGGGATCCTTAGGAGGGGAAGGAGAGCAGAGGGGACAAAAGATCTTATATGCTTTCTAGATGCCCGGGGTGTGTGTGAGGTGGTGGTGGTGGTAGTGTGTATGTATGTGTGTGTGTCCCTCAGCCAGGCTGTGCCTTTTCGCAGTCTGGGAGCCCTCGGGGAGCGGGCCTAAGACTATCAATCGGATACCTTAGCGCGGCTGAGGAGGCGGGGAGAGGCTCCTGCCACCGCCTCTGCGCTCGCCAGCCGTCAGCCCAGCTTGTGGCTAAACGGTGTTTCCTCCTGTCGGAGTGCACTGACGACCAGGGGGCAGCTCCTGCATTGAGCGTCTGCCCCCTGGTGGTCAGTGGGCATCATAGCGACCAGTTGCTCCGCCATTAGGGTCAATTTGCATATTACCCCTTTATTACCTAGAATATGCTTTACCTATGGACACAGACAATAGGGTTTTGAAGGCCTGGGGTGGGGCGGGAACTGGGTGGAGGTGGGCAATGGGGGGGGGAGGGGACACCTATAATACTTTCAACAATAAAAAAGAAAGGAGAGGATAGATGAAAGAATTTCTCTAGTTTATGTTATAAGAATAAAATTTACCCATTTCTTATTAAAAAGCTTGTCTTAATATTCAAGAAACATGAGTGGTAAATAAATGTTAAAAGGTCCCTTTTCTTTTTTCTGCTTTAATTTTATATTAGAAGAGTTCCTGAGGTATTTTAATAACTAGAAGACAAATTGTGTATAATATGTACTTTAAGAATCTGATTTGTGGGAAACTAAGATTTTTATCACTCACAGAACAAAAAAAGGAAAGTTAATTTAAAAGTACTACATTGATAAATGAATAAGCATCTTTTAGCGCAAATGACCAAAGACTTTTTTTTAAACCAGGGGTTTTATTTAATTTATTTACTTTTTAATCCTCACCCAAGGATATTTTTCCATTGATTTTTAGAGAGAGTGGAAAGGAGGGGGAAAGACTGAGAGAGAGAAGCACACTGATTGGTAGAGGTAGAGTTACGTGCCCTTGACTGGAATCAAACTTGAGACCCTTTAGTCAGCAGGCTGAGGGTCTATCCACTGAGCAAAACCAGCTAGGGCCAAACAAAGACTTCTAATAAGAAAAAGGGTTAAGAAAAAAATGAATTCAGGAGGAAAACCAAGGGGGCCACAAGGTTTTAATCAGCTATGCCCTCAAGTAAAAATATTCTTAAGACCTGCTTCCTCTGCATTATAGCTGACAGTTTCTATATGCTTCCAATTAAAATGTAAAATGAAAACAGGTACTGTAATGGACATCCTCTTTATTTTTATTTTATTTTTTTTCTTTTCTTTTGTTGTTTAGGGGTGGGAATCCCAGGGGATCCTGGGAGGGGAGGGGGTCCCGGGCCAGGGCCGGAGGTGGGGTCGGGCACCAGAGCTTTCAGTTTGTTCCCTGGACATCCTCTTTAATCCATAATTAAAATCTTTTAGATATATGTGTTTCTGTTTTAAATAAAATACACAATTAAAAAAATATATATATTTAGAAAATATATATATTTCAAATTGTGGCTCTATCCCGATCTCACTTGACTTCAGAGAGGAAGGGAGAGGGAGGGATAGAAACATTAATAATGAGAGAGAATCATTCATCAGCTGCATCTTGTATGCCATCTACTGAGAACTGAACCCGCAACCCGAGCATGTGCCCTTGACCGGAATCGAACCTGGGATACTTCAGTCCCCAGGGTGACGCTCTATCCACTGAACCAAATTGGCTAAGGCTAAAATACTCAATTTTTTACTTCTCTCACTGAGAATACTTAAGTCTTCTTTTTAAATACCTTATTTAGGGAATTGAACATGTCTGTATATTAAAATTTTTTTATGTTTGGCTCTCTTTTTTTAAAAAATCCTCACCCAAGGACACATTTTTTTATTAATTTGAGAGAGAGAGAGAGAGAGAGAGAGAAACATTGATCAGTTGCCTTTTGTATGTGCCCTGACCATGACGCTCCAACGAACTGAGCCACCTGGCCAGTGCTATGTTTGGTCATCTTATATAACGTTGCATGTATATTGTATAACATATAATGTGATTTTACTCCCCTGCCCCCAAACCTAATATACCTAAGAGTAGCCATCACCATCTTGGTTTTTATTTTTTAATTTTTTAAAAAAAATATATTTTATTGATTTTTTACAGAGAGTTAGGGAGAGAGATAGAGAGTTAGAAACATCGATCAGCTGCCTCCTGTACACTCCCTACTGGGTATGTGCCCGCAACCAAGGTACATGCCCTTGACCGGAATCGAACCTGGGACCCTTGAGTCTGCAGGCCGACGCTCTATCCCCTGAGCCAAACTGGTTAGGGCACCATCTTGGTTTTTAATATGAACCACATGAGAATTAATATAGTGGCACAGATCCTGGATTCGAGCCAACTGCCTGAGTTTGTTCAAATTGTGGCTCTATCCCAATCTCACTTGTAAAAACTGAGAATAATTCTAATAACAAGCTCAGAGGGTGGTGTGAGGATTGACTTTTTTTTTTTTAATGTATTTTATTGATTTTTTACAGAGAAGAAGGGAGAGGGATAGAGAGTTAGAAACATCGATGAGAGAGAGACATCGATCAGCTGCCTCCTGCACACTCCCCATTGGGGATATGCCCGCAACCAAGTTACATGCCCTTGACCGGAACCGAACCTGGGACCCTTGAGTCCGCAGGCTGACGCTCTATCCACTGAGCCAAACCAGCTAGAGCGAGTATTGACTTTTATGTATAGTGGTTTGAATAGTGTTTCTCATATAATTAGATCTCGATAAAATATTTTAACTGATGTTGAAATTAGAAAATATTTTATGATAAAAATAAATTCATTAGCTATTTCAGACTTTATTTAGTTTCTTATGCTCTAGAGAGGAAAACCTAGATGAAACATTATCCAGGTATTTTAGGTATCTAGGGAAATAGAAAATGGTAAGCTATATATGGGCATTCAACTGAGAAAAGAAACAAACAAACAAACAAACAAACAAACAACCCTGAAAACCCAGGAGCGGCAAAAGCCAAGGCATCAAGTTTATTTGAACGCCAAGACAAACTTATTATCAGTTACCTGAACGATAGCTGGGTCCTGAGGCAAAGAACATTGTGGTTTTGGTGGCTCACAAACAGTGAGGTCTTTAATATCACTTCCGCGGAATATTATGTATTCAAAGACTTCATCTCGAGGTGGTATTGGACGATCTGTTGGTCTGTCTTCTGTACCAAAGGACCGAACTGGTAAGAAAACAGAGGATATGAGATATGTGTCTATTCATCATATTCAGGTAGTACGTCTTATAAGTGTACTGTTCCAAGTATAAGCAGCAGTTCTTACATGTCACCCATGAGATAGTACTCATTAATTCGTAGCTAAATAATTTTTTCAAAAAAGAAAAATAAAGTGAGTTTTGCCTAGAGCCAAATGTATTCAATTTAAACAAAGACTGTATTATAAAGTTGTGTTATTCCTAGATTTTTATTTATTTACTAGAGGCCTGATGCACAAAATTTGTGGAAGAGTAGGCCTTCCTTTCTCTGGCTGCTGGCACCGGCTTCCCTCTGGCAACCAGGACCCAGGCTTCCCTCGCAGCCCCGGCTTCATTTGGAAGGTCATCCAGTCTAATTAGCATATTACACTTTTATTATTATAGAAGATATCTTTGGTACTTGTGGTGAGAGGAAATGTTGATTTATTTTTTATTTACTTATTTTCACTGTTTGATCTATTTTTTTAAAATTTTTTTAAAAGAAATATTTTATTGATTTTTTACAGAGAGGAAGGGAGAGGGATAGAGAGCTAGAAACATCGATGAGAGAGAAACATCGATCAGCCGCCTCCTGCGCACCTCCTACTGGGGATGTGCCCGCAACCAAGGTACATGCCTTTGACCTGAATTGAACCCGGGACCTTTCAGTCTGCAGGCCGACGCTCTATCCACTGAGCCAAACCGGTTAGGGCTTGATCTATTTTTAATGTCCTCATTCAGCAAAATAGAAAATTGGAAACCTATGTGATATTTCCTGTGTGTGTGGTGGGGGGAAGTGGGAGTGGAGAGGAGAGGCCAGTGCGTGAAGATTTACAGAGTCCACAAAATCCCAAAGTTCTGAAAATGCCTGCATCTGTATAGAAGTTTCAAATAAGAAAAGTCTGAAAGATCATATATTATCCATTTAAAGAGCATCCTAGAGGAAGTAAACGCAACATAGTGCAAAGTTTTGAACATATGCATTTTTCCGCAGAATTGATCCAAAGCTAAACTGAAGATGAATGTTATTTCAGTTTAAATAATACCTTTTTTTTTAATCCTAAAAATTCTTTCTAGTACTTATGAGACTTCCAGGAAAGATGGTGGCATAGGTGTAGGTTTACAGAAGACTATCCTTCCCTTAGGCTAATAAAAAAAGTTAAAAGTATCCCCAAGCCAGGAAATGATCTCAAACTCATACCATGCAATTTTGTTAAGTATCTTTCAGATGCTGAATGAGTTAGTCTGAACTGGAAGATGAATCCCAGAAACTGTATGTAGCATGTCCTTAGAAATTTTTACTGGTACCCACAAACTTGGTGGATGAGGATAGGGGCACAGATGTGGAAAAAAAGTTGAAATTCCCTTTCCCCTGGTTGCCAAACAGTACTGTATCAGGGCAGGAATAAGAGGCAGGTTTTACATTTTGTCCTTTATCCAAAAGGAAGGCTAAAGAGTTAGAAAAAGCAGAACTACTAAGAAAATTACAACTAAATCAATCTCCCTTCTAACCTCAGGATCACCACCATTACCACCACCACCACCACCACCACCACCACACAATGTATAATGTCCCAGCCCTCCAAAGTAATAGATTAGCTTATCCTGAAGCAGAGGAGGGGAAAAGTCAAAGCCCTTCCTCTACAAAATCATAGAGAAGCTCCATAGCTTCCTAAGGACTAACGATAATCACATATTCAAAAGATAGATTAATTGCTTTATATTCTAAAAAAAAAAAAAATCAACTTTATACCTTAAGAAACTAGAAAAAAAAAACCCAAATAAATCCCAAATCCAGCAAAGTAAATAATACAGATAAGAGCCAAGAGAGACAACAAAAAGAACAGAAAAATAATCAACAAAACTAAAAGTTGGTTTTCTGAAAAGATGAATAAAATATAGTGACCAAGGATAAAGTGAGAAGATGCAAATAACTAAAATCAGAAATGAGAATAAGGATACTACTACCAGTCTTATGGAAATTAAAAGACTTATAAGATAATCGTATGCCAAAACAAACTAGATAATCTAGATGAAACAGAAAAATTCCTAGTTACCAAAAGTGATTCAAGAAAAAAAGAAAAACAGAAAATCTCAACAGACCTACAAGAGATTGGACTAGTAATCGATAACCTCCAAAGAGCCAGAACCAGATGGTTTTACTGGTGAATTTTATCAAACATTAAAAAAAGAATTAAGATCAATCCTATTCAAACTCCTTCAAAAAAAAAGAAAATACTTTTTAACACATTCTAGGAGGCCAGCATTAGCCTGATACCAAAAGTCAGACAGAGAGACCATAAGAAAACTACAAATCAATCTCTCTTTGATTGATTCTAAAAAAGTTCTAAAAAAATTTAAAATTCTAAAAAAAAATTCTAAACACAAAAATTCTAAAAAAACAAAAACAAAAAATACTAGCAAACTAATCCTCAGTACATTTAGAAAATTATATACCTTGAACAATTGGGATTTTATCCTAAGAATGCAATGGTGGTTTAACCAAGTCAGTGTAATATACCACATTAATAGACTGAAAGGTGGAGTCCCACACAATCATCTTAATAGATGTAGAAAAAAAACATTTGACAAAATTTAACACAATTTCATGATAAAAACACTTAGTGAACTTGGAATAGAAGGGAACTTCTTTAACATGAAGGGCATACCAGTATATGAAAAACCCACAGCTAACATATCCTATATAATAAAAGGGTAATATGCAAATCGACCAAACCACAGAACGACAGGTTGCTATGACGCGCACTGACTACGGGGGTGGGGAGGGGGGCAGACTCTAAAACAGGAGCTTCCCCATGGTGGTCAGTGTGCTCCCACAGGGGGAGCGCTGCTCAGCCACAAGCCAGGCTGATGGCTGGTGAGTGCAGCGGCCGCCTCCACCGCAGTGCTAAGGATGTCTGATTGACGACTTAGGCCCAAGGGGAGTGGGCCTAAGCTGTCAGTCGGACATCCCCCAAAGGCTCCTGGACTTCAAAAGGATGCAGGCTGGGCTGAGGTGACCCCCTCTACCCTCCCCCCCCCCCCAGTGCATGAATGTCGTGCACCGGGCCTCTAGTTCAATGATAAAAGACGAAAGCTTTCCCCTAAGATCAGAAAGAAGACAAGGATGCTCACTTTCGCCACTGCTATTCAGAAGTCTTAGCCAGCACAATCAGGCAAGAGAAATAATAGGTAGCCAAACTGGAGAGGAAGAAGTATCTCTTTTTGAAGATGACAGGATTTCAAGTATAGAAAAGACATGAAATTCATTTAAAAAAATCTACAAGAGCTAATAAATAAATTCAGCAACGTTACAAGTATAACACCAACACACAAAAATTGATTGTTTCTATATACCAACAATGATCAATCCAAAAAAGAAATTTAAAAAATAATTCCACTTATAACAGTATTCAAAAAAAAAATATCTAGGAATAAATTTAACTAAGGAAGTGAAAGACTTGCACACAGACAATTACAACACATTGCTGAAATAAATTAAAGACCTAAATAAATGGAAAGTCATCATGTTCTTGAACTTGGAAGACTTAAAATTATGATGCTTCCTAAAGTTATCTACAGATTTAGTACAATCCCTATCAAAATTGTGATGGACTTGTTTTCTTTTTCTTTTCTTCAGAAATTGAAAACCAATCCTCAATTCATATGTAACTTTAAGGGAGTCTGAATAGCCAAAGAATCTTGAAAAAGTTAAGAGGACCCATACTTCCCAATTTCAAAACTTTCTACAAAGCTACAATAGTCAAAACAGTGTGGTACTGGCATAAGATAGACATACAGATTTATGGAATGGAACAGAGTCCAGAAATAAACCCAAACATCTATGGCTAACTGATTTTAGACAAAGGTCCAAGACCACCCAAAAGGGAAAGATTAGTCTCTTCAAAAAAAGGTTCTGGGACAACTGAATGACACATAAAAAAAATGAGTTTGGGACCTACCTTACTCCACATATAAAAACTAGAGGCCCTGTGCACAAAATTCGTGCACAGGTGGGGTCCCTCGGCCTGGCCGGCGATCAGGACCGATCAGGGCCCAAAGGCCCCAGCGGAGTCAGGAGAGGAGGTGATGGTTGCCAGGCTGGGCACAGAAGGAATGGAAGCCGGACGCTGCCATTGTCGGCACCCCGCCACTGCGCGGTTTCCCGCCTTCCCCACCCCCTTCCCTCATTGCGACGGCGGGTGGGCAGCGGGCCAATCAGGGCCTGCTGACCAGGAGTAGGACAGAGCAGAGTAGGTTAGCCGCCAGTCCCAAGGGAGCCGGCCTTCAGCCACCCTGGGAAAGGGGCCATGTCCGCTGCCACCAAACCCTGGTTTCCTGTCCCAGCCCGGGGCCCAGCCCTGATCAGGTGATCAGGGCCTGCTGGCCGGGGGGAGGAACCATGGGAGGTTGGCTGGCTGGGGGAGGTTGGCTGTGGAAATGCACTGACCACTACGGGGCAGCTCCTGTGTTGAGTGTCTTCCCCCTGGTGGTCACTGTGCATCATAGCGACTGGTCGTTCCATTGTAATGGTTGCTTAGGCTTTTATATATATAGATTATCTCAGCCCAGCCCAGCCAGTGTGGCTCAGCGGTTGAGTGTCAACCTATGAACCAGGAAGTCATGGTTTGATTCCCAGTCAGGGTACATGCCAGGGTTGCGGACTTGATTCCCAGTAGGAGGCGTGCAGGAGGCAGCCAATCAATGATTCTCTCTCATCATTGATGTTTCTTTCTCTCTCCCTTCCTCACTGAAATCAATAAAAAGATATTTTTAAAAATTAGCTCAAAGTGGGTGTGATATTGTGAAATAAGACACATATATATTTTGGTCTTTGTCTCCAGCTCGTGGCCAGAGTTCATAAAAACCTTTGTAGATTCCAAAGAAATAAAGGTACTAAGAGTGTGAATCTTGTTCTCATACCTGGTCTTTGACACAGAGCTCCTAAATCTCTTGGAATTTCCTGGATGACAGGCACATCTTTTGCTC